CCAGGCCTAGTTCTCTCTCTCTCTCTCTCTCTCTCTCTCTCTCTCTCTCTCTCTCTCCCTCTCCTCCTCCCTCCTTTTCTTCCCTGTTCCTTCTGGCCTACGTAGGACTACTATCCACTATCCAAATCTGCAAGGCTTGAGCGTCATCCTATGAACCAGGAGGTCCCAGTCCGATTCCCGGGTTGCAGGCTCGATCCCCAGTGGGAGACATGCAGGAGGCAGCCGATCAGTGATTCCCTTTCATCATTGATGTTTCTATCTCTCTCTCCCTCTCCCTTCCTCTCTGAAATCAATAAAAATTTGTTTACTAGTAAAATGCATAAATAAATAAAATGAAAAATATTTTTATCAAAATATATTTGACATATAGCATTGTGTAAATGTGAGGTGCACAACATATTGATACATTTCTGTATTGTAATAGGTATGTGTACAATGGATTGCCATTGTAGCAATACCCAGCACCTGTGTCATGTTACCTAATAATCATTGCTTCCTAGTGGTTGGAATAATTAAGTTCTAGCCTTTTGGCAAGCTTGATGATGATAATACAATATTGTTGTCCATATTCATTGTGCTGCACATTAGATCTCCAGGGCTTATTAACTACTCGTTACAAGTTTATACCCTTAAAAAACACCTGTCTCTCCCCAATCCCACCCAGCCCGAAAAGGGGGAGCCCTTCACCCCGGAGGCCCACTCCCCGCCTAGACCAGCTGAGCTGCAAGCAGTGCCTCTGGGCTCTGAGGTCTACTTTTACATATTCGCTGACAGAAATGAGCAAATAAATGAAAAGTTGGTACTTATGCCCCCCCCCAAAAAAAGCCCATTTAACTCAAAAGAAAATTATAATAGAAAAATATACTTATGTGAATAAAAATTAAATAACTTGCACTTTCTACCTTGAAGTATTTTTTGTAACAGCAGCATGCAGTCACAGCCAGCTGAAATCCTGACGCTGACTACTGCACAGCCAGTGCTGTTCCCTCGCAAGTCGCTTACGTCCTGCAAGCTCCGAGGAAACAGCTCACTCCAAAGATGGGGTCCCCCAGGAGAGACCACCGCTTCTGCGTGGGTGCCCAGATGAGGGGGTACAGGCTGCGCAGAGCCCAGCTCAGACTCGGGAAGTAGAGCCCGCTCAGACCACAAGCAGAGAGTGAGCTGTGTCCTCATGGCCCAGAGCTGACTGCGTGGTAGCAACCTGTGGGCTCTCGTGAATCATCAGGTAGGAGTTAGAGAGAGAAGATCCCAGTCTTTCCTAGCAAAGGACAAGGCTAGACGCCCTCCCTCCGGGTACCTGCGCACTGGCCCATGTTGGAGTGGTCGCTCTCTGGCCCCCCGGGCACCCGGGAAAGCCGCTGCCAGTCAGCACTGTCGCCTGAGCCTTGAATCATACCGCACACGTTTTCCAGCTCGAAATTGCACGAGTCCATGAAGCTCAAGGAAGAGGCTACGAAAGCAAAGAACAATTACTGACACTCACACATCATGATAATCTAAGTAATAGAAATAGAACTTAGTCTCGCCAGTGTGGCTCAGTGGTTGAGCATGGACCTATGAACCACGAGGTCCCCGTTGGGTTCCCAGTCAGGGCACATGCCCGGGTTACGGGCTCATCACCACTAGGGGGCGTGCAGGAAGCAGCTGATCAATGATAGTCTCTCATCATTGATGTTTCTCCCTCTCCCTCTTTCTTCTCTCTTGAAATCAATAAAAAAATATTTTTTTAAAAAAATGGAGCTTATCACAGAAGTCCTAGGGATGCCAGGAGGGCATTAAAGGAGGCGCCTCGGCCCTACCAGGTTCAGCTCAGTGGATAGAGCGTTGGCCTGCGGACTGAAGGGTCCGTAGTTCAATTCCAGTCAAGGGCACGTGCCTGGGCTTCATGCTCGATCCCCAGCAGGGCATGCAGAGGCAGGCAATCGGTGATTCTCATCATTGGTGTGTGTGTCTCTCTCTCTCCCTCTCCCTTCCTCTCTGAAAAATCAATAAAAATATATTTTAAAATTAAATAATAAAATTAAATAAATAAATAAATAAAGGAGGTGCCTCCTGGGCCCGGGTGGTGGGGGCTCGCAGATGCCTGGATGTCTGCAGGACCAAGACATGACCAGCTCTGAGGGTCGGAATACACCGTCTGGCCCAAGTCTTTTCGTGAAACTATCTGATGTTCGCACCCGAGTCTACAGGCCTCTCCTTCTTCAGGTTACTAAGCCGGCCCCCAGACTATCTGGGCCCGGTTACATGATGGCTGTGCGCCTCCTTTGGGCTGAAAAGAGTTTGGAAGATCAAACTGGTCCACATTCGCATTAGTGACGGTTCAGGAACCTGCGTGAGACATGATCCTTCAAGACCAGGTTTGTTTTTACATCGGAAAGCCAGACTGTGCGAGAAGCAAAATGCTGCCTCCAGATTATGGATTGGGATTTGGGTGCTTTAAAAAAATCAAGCATTTATCATTTCAGAGAACTCGGTAATGCTCAGGAAAATGGCACCGAAGGTCATACCCCCCCTCCCCCGTGGAGCAGAGACACAGAAGTCACTGAAGAGCGGTCACGTACAGCAGTTGTACAGCCGGTTCAGCTTGAGGAGGTCAGAGTCGCTGAAGTCCATGCGCTGGCCGATGACGTCCATGAAGTCCGGGATCCTCGTGACAATCGTGGGCTCCGTCCCATTTCGGAAGGCGGTCTTGCTGTAGTGCATGACTGACGTGTAATCGTAGGGGACATTCAGAGCGTCCGAGACTTTGTCATCGTAGGTGTTAAAATTGTTCTCTTTGCCTGAATGGTAAATGAAAGAATTTTAAATTACTTGATGTTCACAGAATTCCATTGATTTTACTCGGAATGCTGTTAGTTTAGAAATGGAGGCTGTAATAAACACACTGCAACCTTTGCTATAACTGCTCTACATGATTTCAGGGGAGTTTCGTGCATCCTGTCTGAGAATGCAGTATTCAAGCTGAGAATTGGGATAGCAGTCATCGTGCTGAACAGATCTAAGTTTTCATTACAGCCCAACGTTAGCTATTAGCATTGGGCCCACGGTTCCGAGAACTGCACATGGAAAGGAGGGTTCTAGAAGGTGCTGTGGAAACAGGCAGGTTGATTGGCAGGCGGTGATGGGAGGGCGGGGCATCCGCAGCAGGTGGAGGTGAAAGTAAGAGGACTTGCGAGGTGCGGTGGGATGGGACCTGGGGATTATAATGCAGAGTCACCAGAAAGGATTCCCATAGTCAGGGGTTCCGTGGTTCCTGGAATACACGTAGCTGATTCTTAAATGAATACGTTTAGAGAAGATACCAAGCTGCTTAACATCGCCTACAGGCAGCGGATTGCAACTTGAGATCAAATGATTTTGTGGGCACGATGGGGTAGATCTGCTGTCCAAAGCACATACATGTGATGTCAAGTCTAGACAGAAGTTTCTGCCAACAGTGAGACTTCAGGAATCCTAAAGAATGCGGCTATGGAGGAAAGGTAAGCACTTCTCTTGCTGTGGATCTTTCAGTCTTTGCTGTGCCTTCCCAAGTTGAGATCAGGACACGGGGAGAGAGCGTGGGAAGGAGCAGGAGCTGTGGTGTTAAGATTATGATGTAGTCAGGACAGCGTGGCTCAGGGGTTGAGCATCGACCAATGAACCGGAAGGTCACAGTTTGATTCCCGGTCAGGGCACATGCCCGGGTTGTAGGCTTGATCCCCAGTAGGGGACGTGCAGGAGGCAGCTGATCAATGATTCTCTCTCATCATTGATGTTTCCCTCTCTCCTTCTCCTGCCCTCTTTGAAATCAATAAAAATATCTTTTTTTTAAAAGATTATGATATCATAGGCCTCGGTACAGAGCAGACCTCACAGTGCCCCACACGACAGCAATGCTGTTTCCCCCCACGCCTCCCCCCGCCCCCAACCTACAGAGGCAGGACAGGTGAGCGACTGTCACGGTGGGAAAAGGTGGAGAGCAGGAGCTCTGGCCGGACCTGGTGTGAAAACCTCCCAGAGGTGGAACGCAAAGTCACAGACGTTCAGGCTGCCCAACTGCTGCAGTGCTCCCCAGTGTGGGTGCCATGGATCAGTAAATCCAAATGTTCCACAAAAGGAAAACACCAGGAATTACGCCACTTTAGGAAATGCTCCTGCCTCCGAGACTTACAACTCATGTTCATCTAACAAAGGCTCTGAACAGCACAGCGGTGTAGTGACTGTTCGTTTCGTTTCTTTTAACCTAGGATTTCCCAGACTCATGTGACCACGGATCCCTTTTCACTCAACACCCGTGAGCATGTTGGGGAACAGGGCTCCATAACACGTGCTTTAGGAAACATTAGTTTCTGAGATCAGGTCCAGCTTAAGGGCTATTGCTGTGCCCCAACAACCTTCATCCACTTCAACTCACACTGAGTTAGAGCTAAATGAAGTAAGACATCAAAACATCAGCGTTTCCTACCGTGTACAGTTGGCACAGATGGCAGGAGAGGGCACAATGCTTAGAATTCAGTCCTTAACTAACTGAAAGTGTAAGAAAACAAGAGAAATGTACCTGATTGGATTCTGTCCCACATTATGCTGACATAGTCATCCCGGTCAGAGCGCGACTGCTCGTGCCAGAACCCCAGGGCGTGGAGGAACTCATGTTGAATCGTTGCTATTTTGTCACAGTTTTCCCCAATGGAGAGACTTTGCTTCCCAACGCGCCTGTTTCCCACCGAAGACCAGCAGCTTCCGGGAGGGTTTACAGGAGAAAGGGGAGAGGGTGTTATAACGATGCAGGAGGAGGTCTCAGGTCAGGATCCCTAATTCCTAACCTGCTCCGTTACCCACCGGGACCCTTCACAACGGAGGGATCTGAACACAAGTCACGTCTCTCAGAACCCTGGTGAGCTACGAACAATGTTCCACACCAGGTGACCTTGGGGGAACTTGGTCTGACACCAAAAAGAACATAGGAGCAAGTCATCCCACGTCAGCCTCATCCTGACTTTTCCTGGAAATGTCCAGGTGTTTCCGATGGTCCTGACTATGCCGAAGACCATTCATAATGGTCCTATAGGTACAGCAACCACTCAGAATTGCTGCGCTCCAAGCAAATAACAGTCACCTTCTTAACTCAGGCAGTAAGAGTCATTAGGTAAAAATAAATTGAAATACACACACACACACATACACACACTTATACACACACACGCGCGTGTTTTACTTGAAGGAACATAAGAAGTAGCTGAAGTTCACAACGTTGTGAGATGGATGGCATGCAATCCCACCCTCCTTATCTAAAAAAATAATAAAAATTGGCAGACTGCTTGCATGTATGAAAATATTATTTTATGGCTAGAAAAACTAGATCCAGCTGTCTTTTACTCTCCAACAAACAGGGAAGGAAGCCCCACCCTCCCTCAAGGTCAGGGCCTAGCAGTGGTTCTCCACCTTCTGGCCCTTTAAATACAGTTTCTCATGTTGTGACCCAACCATAAAATTATTTTCATTGCTACTTCATAACTGTAATGTTGCTACTGTTATGAATCGTCATGTAAATATCTGATACGCAGGATGGTCTTAGGCGACCCCTGTGAAAGGGTCATTCGACCGCCAAAGGGGTTGCGACCCACAGGTTGAGAACTGCTGGCCTAGGGCAATTGCTGTGATATAATGTCCTAGCCACACAGTTTCATTAACACCCTCATAAACATCCTTCACTTACCCACTGCCCTTGAACACTGATATATAGTTCGTTTCTCCGGTCCAAGGCTTGAAGTCAATGCATGTTTTTAAGCGATAGCGTTCAAATGCGTTGAGGATAACTCCCTTAGCATTCATTTCTGAGGGAAGAAAACAAACAAAATATGTAGCTCATTAATATAAACAAGAGTTAAATCCCTACGACATCTCATCAACATTAAAACGAAATGACGTTGGACAAAACTACCTTCTTCGAGGACCTGCTGCATCATGTGCAAGTATTGGATTACTCTTCAGGTCCCTTATTTCACCCCATATTTCTATCTATACCAATTCCTAAAAGTTGCTCCCCCAGGCTGAATTTCATCCTTGGCCATCTCACTCAATACCACCTTCTTGGGTCATTCAATCAGATCCACTATCTATGGAGTACCTGTTATATGCAAGGCACCATGAAAGATGCTCATTCATGCCCACGGCTTCAACCTTTTCCTACATCCAAATAACTCCCAAATATTTTTTTAATTTTTTTATTGATTAAGTTATTACATGTGTCCTTATCCCCACATTACCCCTCATACCCCCCACTCGTGCCCTCACCCCCCTGTTGTCTGTGTCCATTGGTTAGGCCTATATGCTAGCATATAAGTCCTTTGGTTGATCTCTCCCCCTTACCCCCACCCTCCCCTACCTTCCCTCTGAGGTTTGACAATCTGATTGATGCTTCTCTGTCTCTGGATCTGTTTTTGTTCATCATTTATGTTGTTCATTATATTCCACAAATGAGTGAGATCATGTGATATTTATCTTTCTCTGACTCACTTATTTTCTATCTTGAGTGACCAGGCTATCCACCAACACTTTCCATGATATCTCTACCACAGTGAGCCTGATGCGTTTCAAATTCTGCATTCCAAAAACTAATTTCCACCACACTTCTCTAGCCCACCCACTTCAACACATATTCCTTACTCTTGTTAAAGGTGCTACGATTCATCAAGTTGGGTAAATCCTGGACATTAGCATCCCTTTACCTGGGCCTACCTTTTTGACCTCTTGCTGTCAATCACTAAATCTACCAATTGCCTCCAAATGTCTTAGATGTATCCATTCTTGTCTACCCTTCTTAGAGAATCTTGGCTCAAAAGCTCTTCGGTTGTTCCCTAAATATCCCCCCCAGTCTCCCAGCTGATCTCCCTCCTTTCTCATTGCCCCATCAGTAATACATTTCCAAACTGCCACCAAGTGGTAGCAATCTTCTTCCACCAAAATTTTTGGTGCTTCCACGTTATCATCAGTATAGACTTTCCCAATCCAGACCCCGCCTACCTGTCCGACCTCATTATCTCCTTAGCGCCAATCTGCATTCCAGCTCAGGGTTGTTGTTTTTCCCTTCCCCGTGCCTTTGCACATGTGCGTAGGGCACCCTTCCCTAGAGGCACCTCACCTGGGAAATGCTGCCGGTGTTGTCGTGGTGGGTGAAGAGCACTTCGTGCAAAGAAATGAATGTCTCTTGATGAACAGAATGCAAACTCGATGTCCATCTCTCTTGTCCCCCCTCCCCCAGGACCTGTGAATGGTGTACAACTTGCACAACCTTCACTCATCCCTGCTGCTTAGTGCCACCTGTTCCCTAATGTTCATGCCTTTTTTTAAAAAATATATTTTATTGATTTTTTACAGAGAGGAAGGGAGAGGGATAGAGAGTTAGACACATCGATGAGAGAGAAACATTGATCAGCTGCCTCCTGCACACCTCCTACTGGGGATGTGCCCGCAACCAAGGTACATGCCCTTGACCGGAATCGAACCTGGGACCCTTCAGTCTGCAGGCCGATGCTCTATCCACTGAGCCAAACCGGTTAGGGCTGTTCATGCCTTTATATGTAGGTGGCTCACATAGCTCTTTGAACATATGACTAATCATTACGACTATTCCATTCTAGTGTAATTAATTTTTGGTTTATCTGAATATCCACTGACATGTATGGTCTTTAAGGAAAAGTTTCCCAAACAGCAGTTTCTAAACTGATGCTGATCAGTGATATCATTTTCACTAGTCCATACAAAAATGAGGATCAGCCCTGCTGGCATGACTCAGTGGTTGATCATCCACTTATGAACCAGGAGGTCATGGTTCGATTCCTCGTCAGGGCTCATGCCCGGGTTGCGGGCTCGATACCCAATGTGGGGCATGCAGGAGGCAGCCAATCAATGATTCCCTCTCATCATTGATGTTTCTATCTCTCTCTCTCCCTTTATCTCTGAAATCAATAAAAATATATTAAAAAATAAAATAAAGACCATGTTTTAGAGTCGACCATTACAATTAAATTTCTTCTATAGAAATGCTATCCTTGGCTTTGGATTAGATTTTTCTGACTTTTTACTATTAAAACACTATTTCTTTTATGAAAGGGGGATGATAAAAGATAGTGGGTTTTTGTTTAAGCTCCTGACTTGGCAAAATGAAACGTTGGTAAAGCAATGCCAATTCCTAGAGTTTTATTTGTTTGGTTGTTTTGGTTTTTACCCATATGTAGATCTGAACACATGGGAAACCGCTGCTTTATAATAAAGACGAGCTCCCTAATCTTTATGTCCCTAGAATGGAATAATCCACCACAGAGGAGGCACTCCATAAATGTTGGTTAAATTAATTCCTTTATTGTCCAAAGCTCAACAAATATTTCAGACAAAGTCACTTAGGTTCTTTTTATTGTCCACTTTGCTTATTTTTTAAGTAATTTTACATACTTACATAAAGCAACAAACAAAACACTGTTAAAAACCACAATTGCATGCCCTAACCGGTTTGGCTCAGTGGATAGAGCATCAGCCTGCGGACTCAAGGGTCCCAGGTTCGGTTCCGGTCAAGGGCATGTACCTTGGTTGTGGGCACATACCCAGTAGGGAGTATGCAGGAGGCAGCTGATCAATGTTTCTCTCTCATCGATGTTTCTGACTCTCTCTATCCCTCTCCCTTCCTCTCTGTAAAAAGTCAATAAAATATATCTTAAAAAATAAAAATAAATAAATAAAAATAAAAAACATAATTGCATGCCCTTAGCAATACTGTCATCATATCCTTTCAGGAACATACAACAGTTATGGACACTCCAAGGTGTATACTAACCCAAGCTATCTTCTAGAACATATGGGATGGTCTGAGGCCATCTATAGTTTTCTCCAATGATGGAATTTCTATCTTGTACCTGTAAAACATAAATACGAAAAAGGTAATTAAATGAATCAGGCAAAAAACCTATGAAACAACCAATAGTTAATCTAGCAATAAATGAAGCATTAAGCTCTTTCAGCCAGTCTAAACAAACTGTGTGCGCACACATGTGCCCGTGTGTGTACCTCTGCTTTCATCATATTAAGACAAAGTTTCTAGGAGGAAATTTCTCTCACTAATTTTGTTTATAGAGTTGAAGAAGAAATCATGCAAAACCGTGTAAAGAATGATTGTTATAAAACTGAACTGTAAATATTGGTAGACTTATAAACTAGTTTCCTATACAAGAGATTACAAAAATACAAGAGGGAAGTGATAGCAAAACCTCAATAACCTTGATCTCACAAAGTCAGAAAAAGTTACATGAACTGGGGCAACATTTTTTAAAAATTTTAAACAATTTTTATAGTAAAGAACTAATTTCGTCCATGCATTCATCCAGTCAACGGAATGAACGCTGCTCTAGGGAATAGGGGTTCGCTGGTAACAGAACTGCCAAGGTCTTTACCTTCACGGAGCTAATATCTAGCGAAAGAGACAAGTAGGATGTAAGGAGACAAATTAAGATTAAACCGGCTGCATTTACTTGTAATGGAGGACATAAAAAAGGGGGTTGTGGGTAAAAGTAAAGGGATTGGGGAGTATGTTAGATAAGAGGCCAGGCCAGGACTCTTCGAAAGGAGGACGTTTAAGGTGGAATAGGAATGATATGAAGGAGCCAGGATTGAAAGAAACCTTGGGAAGATGGTTTCGGGCAAAATGCTTGGTATGTTTTGAGGCCGATTTGTTAGGACAGAAAAGAAATGAGATAAGAGAGGAGGACAGGGAGGGGAGGGGAGAAGAGAAGAAATGAGAAGAGAATTAGGCAGGAGTTAAATTATGCGAGGTCTTGAAGACTATGGGTAAATTTGGATATTGTTCTAAAAGCAATAGGAAGCTATTGAAGCTTCAAGCCAGGAAGTGAAATAGGGTCATGGAGTTTTTCCCTTAGAGAAGGGCAATATTTGAAATAGAAAGACAAGTTAGGAGAAAAGTAGATTCTTTGAGGTATAGGTTGGAGATAGCAACGACAGAACTTGCTGATGGATTGGATGGTGGGGTGAGGGAAAAGGAAGAAGCAAAGGAGACTCTTGGATTTTTTGCTTATTCAACAGCAGGGGGTGAAGGTGTAGTAAGGACTTCACGAAGAGGGGAGACTCCGTGCAGTTTCGGGGGACCACTACTTTTAGCTGTCAGGGTAGAAGTCACGGAATCTCTCTCTTATGGTAAAAGGCCTGATTCACTGAAGATGTAGAAGTTTAGTTTAACTTTGATTCAACTACATTGGATCAGTGAGATTCTATTTAAAAATGAAAATATTGTTCCAATAATGAAAATCAAAACCATCCATAAGACCGAGGCACCCCTGGTGAGTGATCGCTGCTTTACCCACACAGAAATCTGAGTAACAGATCATGAAGACACTGTTTTATGAGTTCCTTGCAGTACAATGTATTCATTGAACAAATGTGTCACTGTGATTCTGTGCTCGTAGAGATAATTGGGCTTAACTAAGCCCATGCTTGCCAATCATCCTCAGATATTGTTTTTTAGCTTCCAGTGATTAATAGAAGAGTCTTCCTTGCATTGTTTCAACTCACCCCGTCAAGTCTGATGTCTCCCTCAAAAAGATCCAGTCCCAAAGCTAAGAGGAAAGATAAAAATTCATGTCAGCAAATTTGTTCAAACTCCTCACTTAATAAAAGATGTAAAAAAAAAACCCCACAAACCTTCATTGATATCAAATATATCCTGGTCAATTCCACCATCTACATCTTTAACTGAAATAAAGAAAAACATATTGAACATTATGTTTATGAAAGAAGAAATCTTTATCAATTATTGAATTAGAAGTGAGCAAGATTCTAATCAGATGAGTGATTACTTGGTTCTGAATCAATACATACACATTGATTGATTGTTTGATTGGTTGAGAATCTCTCATGAACCAGGCTTGAGGCCATGGCGCTTTTGCATATATGCTCTTGTCCTATTTGTGTCCCTTGAATCCCTAATGACTTCAAGAATAAGAAATTCATTACTTCATATAATATTAAACTTAATTTGGAAGACTAAGTAGCAGAATAGATGAAATAGAAAGCAAATGTTTAAATTTGGTCAAACCAGCCCTGACCGGTTTGGCTCAGTGGATAGAGCGTCAGCCTGTGGACTGAAGGGTCCCAGGTTTGATTCCGGTCAAGGGCATGTACCTTGGTTGCAGGCACATCCCCAGTAGGGAGTGTGCAGGAGGCAGCTGATCGATGTTTCTAACTCTCTATCCCTCTCCCTTCCTCTCTGTAAAAAATCAATAAAATATGTTTTAAAAAAAAATTTGGTCAAACCAGTTCCATCTACCCATATATGTATATTCTTTGCAATAGCATATCTTGGAACTCTCAAGCAAAATCCCTAACTTAAATTTAAACTTATCTTTTAAAATGCAAAGGGGAGCCGAAACCGGTTTGGCTCAGTGGATAGAGCGTCGGCCTGCGGACTGAAGGGTCCCGGGTTCGATTCCGGTCAAGGGCATGTACCTGGGCATCCCCAGTAGGAGATGTGCAGGAGGCAGCTGATCGATGTTTCTCTCTCATTGATGTTTCTAACTCTCTATCCGTCTCCCTTCCTCTCTGTAAAAAATCAATAAAATATATAAATAAATAAATAAATAAATAAAATAAAATAAAATGCAAAGGGGTGAATAACATGGCCAAATCTCTCAGTGTACAACTGAATAGGATGTTCATCTGATCTGACACAAAACAGCAAAATTAATAATAGCAAGCATTTATGATGTCTGTGTGTCAGTCACTGTGTTCGGCCTCTCCTACTCCTCCATCTGTCTTTCTGCTGGGTACGTAGAACCCTGGACCAGGAAATAAAACGCTCCTCAATGAATCAAGAGAAGGCAGAATTTGATCAAAGTTCAATGCAATTATGCATGTACTTAGCATTAAATATGCCCCAAGTTCTTCTGTTCTGCTGTTCTATTACACGCATAACTTCCTTTTCATTTAACTTAGAGCAAATCTCCAAATACACTCACCAAAATGTTCTGGAGTTGGCTGAGAAACAAACACATAAAAGAAGATATTATTATGATGCCCATGATTTAATGGTCTTCTGGGTTCCAATTTATATCTAGCCATTAATACTATGAATTACTTTCTGACACTTATCTAAAACAGTTAAATTGGAGTCTAAGATGACTTTCTGACAAAAGGGTCTTCCCATTTCATATAAAAAAAAATAAAACTTCCTGCCAGGCCGGCGTTGCTCAGTGGTTGAGCGTCGACCTACGAACCAGGAGGTTACGGTTCGATTCCCGGTCAGGGCACATGCCCAGGTTTCGGGCTCAATCCCCAGTAGGGAGCGTGTAGGAGGCAGCCCATCCATGATTCTCTCTCATCATTGATATTTCTCTCTCTCCCTCTTCCTTCCTCTCTGAAATCAATAAAAAATATATATTTTTTTTAAAACTTCCTGTTAAATGAAAGAAACAAAAAACCAACTTCACAGGTTGAAGAGAAGGCAGAACATAGGACTCCAGCCCTGAAATGTGTTCACTTTTATCATAAATTTCCGAAGAATTCATGGAGTCGTGTTTGGAAATCCTAAAAATTTATTCCCAACATTGAAATATTATCATAATTTATAACAATCCTTTAAAAAGAAATTTTAGTGAAGACCTCATTATTCATGGCTTACTTTCCTATTTCACTCAAGACTCTGCCTTCAAAGACAATACCAAATGGTTAAGGAAAAAGCCTATGGGTGTAGATAGCATTGTTATTAAAAACAAACAAACTTCTGAAGATAGAAGCAACCAAATGAGACCTAAACTACATCGGTGGGAAAATTAGGTAACCCTGAGAAATGCCTAGTGTCGTCTAGTAAAAAAGCTCACAGGGCCGATAGATGGTCGATCTAGGTCAGTGATGGCGAACCTTTTGAGCTCGGCGTGTCAGCATTTTGAAAAACCCTAACTTAACTCTGGTGCCGTGTCACATAGAGAAATTTTTTGATATTTGCAACCATAGTAAAACAAAGACTTATATTTTTGATATTTATTTTATATATTTAAATGCCATTTAACAAAGAAAAATCAACCCAAAAAATGAGTTCGCATGTCACCTCTGACACGCGTGTCATAGGTTCGCCATCACTGCTCTAGGTTATAGTTCTGATTCCACCAACTGCTAGGAAGGCAGTTCCCCGTCCTGACACTCGGTTAAATCCGGTCACATCTGCTTTGCAGGGTATTGTGAGGGTTCCATGATGTCACAAGAAAGCACTTTTTAAACTATAACAAAATGTCACCCACATGTAAGGTACAGTTTTATGTAAATACAGTTTCCGTATCTAACTTCTAGATTCATCTGGAGCCTCTGTAAGCAGTGGGAATGAGTTCCTTGGGCGATTTCTGTCCTCACTGATAGTAACAAGCGCAGTGGTGTCTCAGGCTTTAGCCACACATACAGACAGATGCAAGCATTTCTACTAAAACAACTTGTGCTTTTTGTCATGATTGCAGTTTTAAGGCTATCCAGTGGTTTCTCCTGTTCTCGGTACTATCGTTGCTGTTCACAGAACATTAGCATATCATCACAACTGTTATTTTAAACGACAGCTAGAGGCTCCCCCAAGCATTTGGAACCTCACTTCTAACCTCGGGCTGGGTGGTGGGTGGGACAAAATGCCTGGCCTCACTTCATGAGGAAGCGGCCGAGAAATCCCATGTTGCCCGACTTCCTAAGCATGTACTGTGCCCTGGCAGCCACCATTCACTCCATCCGCGCCTCCCCTGGGGGTCAGCCCTCTGATGTCATTGAGCAATAGAAATGCAATGATTTTCCCATTTCCCATCAGATCAGAAGAAAACTTGTTACATAACAAAGAAACAGAGAGAAACCTAGCTTTGTGTCCATGTCTCTGGCTCCACAGACCCCACCCGCCAAAAGGAAATGCTCGCTCATTCCATTAACACGTCAACATTCATCAAAAACAGAAAGCGAACACACTTTTCTTTAGCCGTTGGTATCAACTGCCCAGACTGTTCTAATTGTTTTCTTACCAGGCCAGACACCACGAGGCAAGAGGCGGCGAGCAGCGACCAAGGCAGAACCCATGAATCCATGCTGTCGCTTCCAGTTGGGAGTGCAAACTATGCAGTTCAGAATAGCACTTATCTTTTAAAAGGCAATCATCGTAACTTCTAGCCTTTGATCCATCTTGCAGGTCAGCTCGCTGCGGTAGTCATACCTCCAATCAAGGAGTTAAAGTCCAGCTGCCCTCACACAGCCCCTGGAGTTGATTGCTTGGTTGGTTTTTCCTGTGTGTGTCAACATTCAATAGTCAAGAGCTCGGCTGAGACCTGTTCATGAAATAAGTTCTCGAATGCATACCTGCTGGTGCCCCGAGACTAATGAATGCCTATTGAGCGAAAGAAAATGTCAAATGACTTTTTAATCTCGGCCTTTCCAATAGTAAACATCTGTGAGGCTCCTCCTGCCATTTAGCCCTGTGCTGCTTCAATCCGTCCAGTCTGTCCACAGCTTTTCATTGTTCATTCATTTAATAAAAATGTATTGAGTTACAAAATCCATTAATGTGCTAGGCATCTGGTCCATTTGCTATCCGGGTAAACAGTAGCCAAATAGCAACATATTTCACTCCTGAAAATTCCCCTCCAGCAAACTCAGGTGGGACTTAAGGTAAAAAGGCCAGGACTGGTTGCTGGTTTTCTAATAAACTGACGCTCCCAATCCATCTCTCCATTCTGCCTCACTTTTTTCTTCTTTTCTTGAGATAACTTCCCTTTAGGGACAACCTACTCTAACTTAGTTCCTACAGATTCACTCTCAACTTACTTGTGGGGCAGGTTAAATTTTTTTAAGGACTATTTTCCCCACAGTACTGCTTCCCTACTCAAGCTGGCCTTGGCCCCAGCCCATGCTACTAGGAAGGATCTAAGAAGACATGTAACAGAGACGAAGGCCATGGAGGCTGCTCTGTGAACACAAGAAGTCGTTCCCACCCTCTGAGAGTGAAGGGGTGTTAAATGCCATGTGTGGATCAAGTCCCCACTTGCTCCCCGGGGTCCCCAAGAGAGTTTATGGGACCCAAACCCAGGAGGCCTATTTCCTGGCTAGAGCCACCAGGAAACAATACGGAAGAGCAGGCCTTGGGCGGCCGACGTAACTCCTGTCGGGGCCAGAGTGGAACAGAAGTGTCAGAGGAAGCCCCGGCCTAGAGGGCCAAGGGTGAGCAATAAGAAAGCCTCCATCGCATTTTTAAAAAATATGTTTTTATTGATTTGAGAGAGAGAGAAGAGAGAGAGAGAGAGAGAGAGAGAGAGAGGCATTGATGCATCAACATTAATCAGCTGACTCCTGCACACCCCCTGCTGGGGATCGAGCCCACAACCCGGGCATGTGCCCTGACCAGGAACCGAACTGGCGACCTCGTGGTGCACGGGTCGATGCTCAACCGCTGAGCCACACCGGCTACAGGAGCAGGTAACTCAACTCGCCATTTAAATCAACAGTAAGGACTCGATCTGATCAGTGTTATTTTTTTGTTTTAAAGGCACCACCAAGTGCCAAGGTCAGGCAGTGAAAGGCAAGCACAGAGCCTCTGTCTGGATTTAGGAAGCCAACTGAAAAGCGAAGATGGACTCTCGGGCTAGTCCAAGTGGAGAGGACTCGGGAGAGCCTGGGTCGGGCAGGGTTTGCTGCTCACCAAAGTGCCTGATGAGCCCAGGTGGGGGGGGGGAGGGGGCGCCTATTGTTCTGAACCACAGCCCAGGCCCCGGGGGGAGAAGGGAGTCGTGGCGCCCGTGTGGTGAGCACCGGGTTCTCAGGTCCCGCCGTGGCGGTGAGAGCAGCAGCATCCGGGAGCCTCTGGGTGTGGAAGAAGGATGCTCACGTGTTCGCGGGGTCTGCGTCGACAGGTGCCGCTGTGGGTTCTGGCACTCCAGTCACTGACGTTGCTCTGTGTGAGCAGAAGGGCAGGGGGTGCAGGGGCTCGGGGAGACGGGGCTCACCACAGCTTTGGGTGAGAATAAAAGGCAAAGAACCACATTTGCTCCAAGTGTCATCACTCAAGTGTCATTACTGAAGCCTCTAGCCCAGTGGTTCTCAGCCTTGGCTGCACATTAGAATCACCTGGGATTCTTTTTAAAATCCTGATTTCTGGGCCTCATCCTCCGGAAATTCTGTTTCTTTGTTATGGGGTGAGGCCACAACATTAGTAACAAAGAAACAGAATTTCCGGAGGATGAGGCTCAGAAGTCAGGATGTTAAAAAGATTCCCAGGTGATTCTAATGTGCAGCCAAGGTTGAGAACCACTGCTCTATTCGGTGTTTCCATGGAATTGGCTCCCCAGATGGGACTCCGGAGGGTTACGGAGAGAGAACAACACCTCACAGACGCAGCAGATTAAGTCATCATTGTTTCCTGACAAGCAGGCAGGAAGTACAGGCCGCTGCTCCATTTCATCCGAGGGAGGAGAGAGGAAAAAAGGAATAATGAGCCATCATGGGAAGAAGTGTCATCTGACATGGGGACATCTTACAAGGGGATTTAACCACCAAGCCTTGCACATTCAGGTCTGAGGGCCAGGAGCTGAGAAAAACCTGCACATTTCACCAACCGGCCCTCAAACCAGCCCTGTAGGGTGAAACGGCATGATTTGCTTTAATCATCCTAGAAATTTCTGAGGATGGCTTTGTGATAGACAATCCTTGGTGCTAGAGTAGACACCTCCCCTATGAGGTATGAACAAGGGAGATGAGTTACACATTGATGCCTTTACAGCACGGTGTCATTATTCAACAATGTAGGGTTGTGTTTGGATGGATGGATAGATGGATGGATGGATGGATGGATGGATGGATGGATGGATGGGAAGGTTAGTGGTGGCTTGGTGTGAAATGTGAACTGTAGAGCTAAAAATAAAATAAATTTCAGGGGAAAAAATTAAAAGCTTTTAAGGTAGGGTACCTCAGGAGACCTGCCTGGCGGTCATTTGCCCAGAGAATTGAGAGTAGAGTTCGGTCATAGC